TGGTACGTGGCTTGGAGGGAAACTTGCAGTTGGCAGTGTGTCTACTGCCCTTGCCCCTCTACTTAGAGTTCACACATTTGGAAGGTGCTGCCGATGGAGCCTTGGTGAGTTAATGCAGCGCATCACCCATCTCTTTCACACTGCTGTCATATTGAAGAGGGGGAATAAATATTTCAGTAGGTGGATGGGATACAGATCAAGTGGACTGCTTTGTCCTGCATAATGGTAAGCTTCTTGAGTATTTAAATAGTTGTTTGCTAATACAGAACTCGCATATTGCTGAAATAAGACATACCTTTGTGAAAACTTTTAGTCTTGCACTTGTCAGGACAATCCACAAGGAGACCAATTCAAGGGCGTAAAAAACTCCTTTTATGTTGCATGAGAAGAGACTTCTGATTGGTTGGCAAGTGGACACTGGTTAGAGGCACTGTCGTGGAAAAAAAACTAAACAAGACAGATTGACTTTGACTCTGATTGGTCAGAACATTGTCCCAAAAAATTAAACAGTGACTGGTATTACTTATCTTGTTCAGTTGAAACAGGCACAGTGTGTTTACATGTTCTTTCTATCTGAAGAGAACAGGGTCCTGTGTACTGAAATATGCAGCTTCCAATACATGCAAGTGCACCACACTGCTGTCTGACTGATGATCCAAAATTGGTTGTTAGCATAATTCTTTCCATGCGCAGAATTATTCAACAAATGTCATTGAACTAGAGAATTACATGTAATGTTAGACACTGTGATGTAGGTTTTGCAAGCTCGGGTGGTTGGGAATGGTTAGTACCTTAGTTACAAACAGCCGAAGGGATATATACTGTTGATACAATCTGCCTGTCCAGAGTTAGCATACCTAGCATCACATAAATTCATAAATCACATTACTCATTGTGTGATACAAGTAGTTCTCCCATAATGTGACAATTGCATTCTTGAGTGACCTCATGCTATAGAAAATCACGCTGTAGAAAATTGCTATACCTGTACAGCAGAAAGTTTGCGTTTTTCAAACAGCGCCCACTATTCAACGGTCACGTTACAGCCAATTCGCGTTAACGAAACGCGTGTTATAGCAGAACTACCTGTAGGCAGAAAGGTCGTCTTGGCTTGACGGCAGTATCCTGCCAATGGCGAGCACCACTTGCATTGCTACTGCAGAGTAGCATGCTAAACTAGTTTCACCTGTTGCTAAAACATTTGAAATTCCTTACCCTTCCAGGGTGATCTGATTTAGAGTTGACACTTTTGAGGACAGAGTGTCCACTTTAGGGCCTTTCATGAGCTTGTGTGATATACAACAAGAAACTGTCTGATCTGGGTGGCCATTATCCAACCCTAATCCGTGTGACACTTTGCCATTGTCTCTCAGACATAATGAATATCGTGGTAATAAGACTAAACTAGTCATCCAGAAACCCAGGCTAAATGCTCTGTTCAGATCCTACCATGCCAGTTGGTGAAATTTAAATTTGATTCAAAATCTGGAATTAAAAGCTAGCCGTATAACCCCTGTCAATTGTTGTAAAAACCCATTCACTAATGTCCTTCAGGGAAGGAACTGCCATCCTCACTTGGTCTGGCCTTAATGCGTCTCCAGACCCACAACAATGTGGTTGACTCTCAAATTTCCACTGGGTATTTAGGGATGGATAATAAATGCCTAGCCAGTGACAGTCACATCCCATGAATCAATTAAAACTAAATTCAACTAGAGGAAGAAGGGTAGCAGATAATATAGTAACATCACCGTCTGCAAGTACTCCTCTAAGCCATTTAAAGTCCAGATTGAAAATATCACTGTTCCTTCAGTGTTGTTGGGCCAAAATCCTGGAACACTCTCCCTAATGGCATTGTGGGGCTAGGCTACAAATGGAATGCAGCGGTTCTAGAAGGCAGCACATGATAACTATTTCCCAAGGGCAACTTGGGATGGGCAATAAATGTGGCCATTCCATGAGTAAATAAAAACGCTGTTATTTGCAGCCATGCTGAAATATCAGTAATGTCAGGATGCCAACCATGCCTACAGCTTTTGCAGGAGCCAGTACTTTCAGGCATTTCTGATTTCATGCTGAATGAATTAAACAGTTGAAGGTTAGCATCTGTGATGCAAGGGACCTCAGTAGGAGGCCTAGATGTATCATCCACTTGGCACTTTGTCGAAGAGAGTTGCAACGGCTTCAGCCTTGTCTTTTTATAGAATCATACAGTTGTACAGCACAGAAACAGACCCTTCAGTCCAACTTATCCATGCCAACCAGATATCCTAAACTAATCTAGTCCCATTTGCCAGCATTTGACCCATATCCCTCTAAACCCTTCTTATTCATGTACCAATCCAGATGACTTTTAAATGTTGTAATTGTACTAGCCTCCACCACTTCCTCTGGCAGTTCATTCCATATATGCACCACCCTCTGTGTGAAAAATTGCCCCTTATGTCCCTTGCTTATCTTTACCCTCTCACATTAAACCTGTGCCCTCTAGTTTTGGACTCCCCTACCTTGGGAAATAGACCTTGGCTATTCACCCTATCAATGCCCCTCATGATTTTATAAACCTCTGTAAGGTCATCCCTTTTGTGTTGATACGCTGTGCACTCCCATTGGTGAAGAGGAGGTCTTTGTGGAGCTTCCTCCTCTGGATAGTTGTTTAGTTACATACAATTTATGTAGAAGGACTACAGAGCTTAAATCTAATATATTTGTAGAATTGATTGGCTCTGTTTTGTTTTTATTCCTTTGCTGATTGTGGGCATCACTAGCTAAGCCAGCATCTATTACCCTTCACTAATTACCCTAGAGCAGGTGGTAGTGAGTCCCCTTTTGAAACGCTGCAGGTCTTGAGGTGTAGCAACACCGACAGTGCTGTTGGTAAGGGAGTTCCACATTTTTGACCAGTGACTGTGAAGGAAGGGTGATAGGGTGGTGTGTGATTTGGAGGTGGTGGTGTTCTCATGTACCTGCTGCCTTCGTCCTTCAAGATGATAGAGCTAATGAGTTTGGAAGGTGCTGTCAGAGGAGCCTTAGTGAGTTGTTACAGTGTATCTTGTAGATATACACATTGCTGCCACTATGTTTTGATAGTGAAGTGTGTGAACAGTGAATACAGTGGAAGGCATGACAATCAAGTGGGCTGCTTTGTTCTGGATGATGTCAAGCTTCTGAAGTGTTCTTGGAGCTGCACGTCCAGGCACGTGGAGAGTATTGTATCGCAATCGGATTGTCCCTTGTAAATGGTGGTTAGTTTTGTGGGTTTCTAGCTGCAGAATTCCTAGACTTTGCACAGTGGCAGTGTCCCACAACAAGATGAAGGATATTATCAATGTGGATACAGGACTTCATCTCCACAAGGCTGTAATGGCTACTTCAACTGACACTATCATGGACAAATGTATCTAATATACTGGTGAGGACGAGGTCAGTTAGAATTTTCTCTCCATTGTTTCTGTCACCACTTGTTGAAGCCCTTTAGAGTTCAATCAGTGGCGTGCTACCGAATCAATCTGGGTGATGGACACTGAAGTCACAACTACAGTACATTCTATGCCCTACCCACCCTCACTGCTTTTTCCAAATGGTCTGACTCAACCACTTTTGCAGGCAGTGAGTTCCAGGCTCCTACCTCCCACTAGGTGAAATATTTCTGATCAAATCTATTAGCCTTCTACCTCTTACTTTGAAGTCTATTCCCCTGGTTATTGACCCCACTATTAATGGAAAAACAATGCCATACTATCCAACCTGACTATGCCCCTCATAGTCTTAAACATGTCCATCATGTCTTCACCCGCCCCCCCCAACCTTTGCTGTTCTAAGGAAAACAACCAGTCTTTCTAATCTGTTGGTGGTATAGTGGTGATGTCACTGGACCAGCGCTCTAGAATGGTCAATTTTTTGGTGACATGGGTTCGAATACCACCTTAGCAGATGCTGAGATTTGAATCCAATTAAAATTCTGGAATTAAAAGTTGGCCTAATGATGGCCCTGTAACCACTGTCAATTTGTCATAAAAATCCATCTGGTTCACAAATGTCCCTTGGAGAAGGAAATCTGCCATCTTTACCTGGTTTGGCCTACAGTTGACTCCAGACTCAGCAATGTGGGCAATAAATGCTGGCCTAGGCAGTGACACTCAAAATCCCATGAACAAATAAAAAATAATCAGAGCCTCCAGCTCAGGTAGTATCCTTGTAAATCTCCTCTGCGCACTCTCTCATGCAACCACAAGTCTACTTGGTTCTAATGAATTGACAGGTTCACAACAACATTACTAAAACTAGTTTTAAATTCCCAGATTTTTCAGTTTACTAATCAATTGAATCAATTAACTGAATTTAAATTCCATTCTGGATTATTAGTCAGGCAACATCACTGTATTCTCCCATCCTCACCGTTCATTCCAGTCGAATTATGTAGAATCCCTATAGTGCAGAAAGAGGCCATTCAGCCCATTGAGTCCGCACCAACCCTCCAAAGAGAATCTATCTCCCTGCATATTACCATGACTAATCCACCGAATCTGCACATCCCCGGACACTATGGGGCAATTTAGCATGGCCAATCCAATTACACTGTGGGGGGAAACCCATGCAGACATGGGGGAGAACATGTAAACTTCACACAGAGAGTCACCCAGGGCTAGAATTGAACCTGGGTCCCTAGTGCTGTGAGACAGCAGTGCTAACCACTGAGCCACCCATTTATCAGATATCGATCAGAAGCAGAAGCCTGAATGGGCACCAAGTCAATTTGTGACATTTTATGACTCTCAGGTGGATCGACACTTCCTGGTTTATAAAGCAAAGAAAGGCTAAGATTTAAAGGGATTAAGCAGGTTGCTGACATAAGCCTAACACTATTCCATTGTTGTAATTTTGCCACTTAATTCAGATGGTGTCACTAGATCTGTTGTATTTAAACTAACTTTTTGAGTACTGTTTCCCTGCAGTAACTGATATTCAGTCTATAATCTGATCAGTTATTTCTATTTCAGATGCAGAGAGGCTGTTATTAGGAAACTGAACTTCATACACATATTTCAGCTTCTTACCTCATTGCTTCTCAGGACAAGACAAAAATATGGTATGTATCCCTCTCAAATGGGAGTAGATGTAAAATATCTGTCGCTCTCTAATTAAGGAGCATACGACTGCATACCCTACAGCAAGTGTAACTGTACGTCCCTCTTTGATTTATAAGGTTCTCCATGTTAGGTGAGTGTGGAAGTTTGTGTCCCACCTCAGAGAGAGAGGGCCTTAAAAGAGGATTGGTAGGCTGATAGTCAGAGAGTTCTTTAGGAAAGAAATTGCAAAGTATATGACTTAGATTGCTAAAGGCCCAGCTGCTAGTGATTGGAAAAGGTTTGTGAAGAGGCAAAAGTCAAGGGAACAGAGAGTCCAGGGAGCCTTTTAGAACTGGAGGAAAGTGCAGGCATGGAAAGGGTTGGGAATTTGAAATTAGTGTTGTGTGACTTTAACTTTGTCCACCCCAGTCTAACACTGGCAGCTCCACATCAGAGTGATGTGACACCGGGTTCAGTTACCTTAGTTGACTGGACAGCTGATTTGCAATGCAGATTGATCATGGTTTTGTTAAGGGTAGATAATGTCTGACCAACTCGACTGAATTTTTTTGAAGGGATGAACAAGTGCATTGATGATAACAATACTTTTGTAGTCTACTTGGACTTCAGCAAGGCTTTTGACAAGATCTCACATGGGAGACTGACATCAAAGATAAGAGCCCGTGAGATCCATGGAAACTTGGAAAATTTGATCAGAATTGGCTGAGTGGCAAAGGATGATGGTTGAGGGATGTTTTTGTGACCGGAAGCCTGTGTCCGGTGGGGTCCCAAAAGGGGCAGTATTGCAGTCCTTGTTGTTTGTGGCTTATTTAAATGATTTAGACTTAAATGTAGGAGCATTTTTTCAGTAAGTCTACAGTTGATACAAAAATTGGTGGGGTGGTATATAGTGAAGAGATCAGTGGCAAATGGAATTCAATCTGAATAAATGTGAGCTGATGCACTTTGGCAGGACAAACAAGGCAAGGGTACACATGTTGAACAGTAGGACACTGGGATGCATTGGGGGTTAGAGGGACCTTGATGTGCATGTACACCAGTCCCTTAAAGTATCAAGGCAGGTGGATAAGTGGTTAAGAAGACATATGGGATAGTTGCCTTGACTAACCAAGGCATAGGGCAGGGAGGTTATGCTGGAACTGTATAAAACATTGGTTGGGCTACAGCTGGAGTATAGTGCGCAGTTCTAGAATCCACATTGTCGGAGAGATGTGATTGCACCGGAGTGGGTGCAGAGGAGATTTACCAGGATGTTGCCTGAGCTGGAGAGTTATGAAGAAAGATTGGATAGAGTGGGGTTGTTTCCTTAGGACTGAGGAGATTGAGAGGAGAAGTGATTGAGATGTATAAAATTATGACGAGCATAGCATAGAGAGGGCAGACAGAAAGAGACTTTTCCTCTTGATGAAGGAATCAATGACCAAGAGGCATAGATTTAAGGTCAGGGGCTGAAGGAGATGTGAGGAAAAACTTGTTTTCCAGAGGGTGGTGGGAATCTGGAACTCACTGCCAACAAGGGTGGTAGAGGCAAAGACCCTCTTAACATTTAAGGAGTATTTAGATGTGAAGGCCTACAAGTGCTGGAAAATGGGATGAGAATAACTAATGGTTATTTTTGACACAATGTACTGAAGATCCTTTTTCTGTGCTGTAGATCTCTATGGCACCCACACCTCATGAAAGAAAAAAGAAAATATAGCATTGAGATAAATATCAAGATTGTCTGTTTTCATGCAAGGTTGAATGTTAAACCAGGGAGAATTGGTTGTAGTTCTTTTCAATAATGCAATGGATCTGCCTCATTTTACCATCAAACAAAGAATAGCTGTGCATGGGGAAATGGAAAGGAGAGAGGATGTCAGGAAATTTACAATCACCAGGGAACAGAAAGTGAGCAAACTCTTGTAGCTATGAGCTGAAGAGTCCTTGGATTCTAATGGACTTCATCCTAGGATTTTCAAAGAAGTAGCCCTTGAGATGGTCTCTGTTTTGGCTTAAAGTTTTCAAAATACTCTAAGTTTGGGGTAGGATCCATTTAGGTTGGAAAATAGCAGTTGCAATTGCTTTATTCAAAAAACAAAAGGGAGACAGAAAGCAGGAAGCTACAAGCCAGTTAGCTTAACATCTGTCAAAAAGGGTGAGAAGCTATTTTCAAAGCAATTATTAATGATCATGAGGGGTCTTGCAGGGTGCATATGAAAAGGATATTTCCTTTTATGGGATTCACCATTTCAAAATAAGTGGTTGCCTAGTTAAGGAGATTTTTTTCCTATGAGTCATGAGTCCTTGTTTCCCTAGAAAGTGGTGGCTGCAGAGTCTTTGAATATTTTTCAGGCAGAGATAGATAAATTCTTGCTAAGCAAGTGGTGAAAGATCATCGGGGCCACTTAGGAATGTTGAATTAGGTTACCATTAGATCAGCCACAATCTCATTGAATGCAACAGCAAGCTCAAGGGCCAAGTGGCATACTCCTGCTTCTAACTCCTATGAGTGAGATTCTTAATGAGTACTTTGCGTCGGTATTCACCGAAGAGAGGGACATGACAGATGTTGAGGTTAGGGATAGATGTTTGATTACTCTAGGTCAAGTCGGCATAAGGAGGGAGGAAGTGTTGGGTATTCTAAAAGGCCTTAGGGTGGACAAGTCCCCAGGTCCAGATGGGATATATCCCAGGTTACTGAGGGAAGCAAGAGAGGAAATAGCTGGGGCCTTAACAGATATCTTTGCAGCATCCTTGAGCACGGGTGAGGTCCCGGAGGACTGGAGAATTGCTAATGTTGTCCCCTTGTTTAAGAAGGGTAGCAAGGATAATCCAGGTAATTATAGACCGGTGAGCCTGACGTCAGTGGTGGGGAAGCTGCTGGAAAAGATACTGAGGGATAGGATCTATCTATATTTGCAAGAAAATGGGCTTATTAGTGATAGGCAGCATGGTTTTGTGCAGGGAAGGTCATGTCTTACCAACTTGATAGAATTCTTTGAGGAAGTGACAAAGTTGATAGATGAGGGAAGGGCTGTGGATGTTATATACATGGACTTCAGTAAGGCGTTTCATAAGGTTCCCCATGGTAGGCTGATGGAGAAAGTGAAGTTGCATGGGGTCCAGGGTGTACTAGCTAGATGGATAGAGAACTGGCTGGGCAACAGGAGACAGAGTTGTAGTGGAAGGGAGTTTCTCAAAATGGAGAACTGTGACCAGTGGTGTTCCACAGGGATCCATGTTGAGATCACTGTTGTTTGTGATATACATAAATGATTTGGAGGAAGGTATAGATGGTCTGATTAGCAAGTTTGCAGATGACACTAAGATTGGTGGAGTAGCAGATAGTGAAGGGACTGTCGGAGAATGTAGCAGTATATAGATAGATTGGAGAGTTGGGCGGAGAAATGGCAGATGGAGTTCAATCCAGGCAAATGCAAGGTGATGCATTTTGGAAGATCCAATTCAAGAGCGAACTATGTGGTAAATGGAAAAGCCCTGGTGAAAATTGATGCACAGAGAGATCTGGGTGTTCAGGTCCATTGTACCGTGAACGTGGCAACGCAGGTCGATAGAAGGCATACGGCATGTTTTCATTCATCGAACGGGGCATTGAGTACAAGAGTTGGCAGGTCATGTTACAGTTGTATAGGACTTTGGTTCGACCACATTTGGATCTGGTCGCCACATTACCAAAAGGATGTGGATGCTTTGGAGAGGGTGCAGAGGAGGTTCACCAGGATGTTGCCTGGTATGGAGGGTGCTAACTATGAAGAGAGGTTGAGTAGATTAGGATTATTTACATTAGAAAGATGGAGGTTGAGGGGGGACCTGATTGAGGTCTACAAAATCATGAGAGGTATAGAAGGGTAGATAGCGAGAAGCTTTTTCCCCAGAGTGGCGGACTCAATTACTAGGGGTCACGATTTCAAGGTGAGAGGGGAAAAGTCTAAGGGAGATATGCGTGGAAAGTTCTTTATGCAGAGGGTAGTGGGTGCCTGGAATGTGTTGCCAGCGGAGGTGGTAGAGGCGGGCATGATAGCATCATTTAAGATGTATCTAGACAGATACATGAATGGGCAGGGAGCAGAGGGATACAGATCCTTGAAAAATAGGCGACAGGTTTAGATAGAGGATCTGGATCGGCATAGGCTTGGAGGGCCGAAGGACCTGTTCCTGTGCTGTAATTTTCTTTGTTCTTTGTTTGTAAAACTCAAAACTCCAACAATGCATAACTCCCGCAGTACTGCAGATTATATCTGAGGTGGAGCTTCAACAGTTTGACTCAAGCCAGAGTACTGGCAACTGAGACAAGCTACTATTTTAAATGATTTAAAACCTCCAAGATCTCTGCTTTCACTTAATTTTTGCCAGGCATTTCTTCCTCCAGCGTGGGAAAAGATTGCAAGTATATAAATTTATTTTTGAAGTGTTATAAAGGTCAAAACAATATGTACCTCTACCCAGGAAGGCAAGAACAGTGCTAGGCTATGCAGCCCTTCAAGACCTGTTAGTCTGATATATCATAGCCAGTCTGTATCTTGACTGTATTTATTTGCCTTTGCTCCATATCTTTTGAAATGCATACCCAACAAAAGTGACTCAAATTTACATTGTTCTTTCTGTCAAACTATTCTTCCTAATTTTACAGCTAACTAGGCCTAGTTCTAATTATAAGCTTAGGCCCCCTTGTTCTGCATTCCTGTCCTGGTGAAAGTAGTTTTCCTGCACCTGCGCTATCAAATCCTGTTATCATTTTATAAATGGCCAGATTAGATCACCCATCAGCCATATAAAATCAAGTTTTGCAACCTGTTCTCAAAATCTAACCCTTTAAGTGCCCAATTCTATTAAATTTTATCTTTTGTTTGGATTTTGTAATTTCCTCACTGCATTGTGGGTAAGCCAATGCCACTGCACATTTTGCCGAATACAGAAAAGACTCCAATTTATTTGACTAAAATGAGGCTCTTGTTTCTTTCCAGCTGCATTCACTTTTCTCCTGCCCTACCCCCAC